CTTCTCTCCTTCCCTTCTCTCCTTCCCTTCTCTCCTTCTCTTCTCTCCTTCCCTTCTCTCCTACCCTTCTCTCCTTCCCTTCTCTCCTTCCCTTCCTCTTCCTGCCTACTTCACATGGATTCGTCCTGGCTGAAGTCTCCTCAAAGCATTTGTCACATCGAGGTGTTTGAGTTACTTCTTCTGGTCTTTCAGTGTCAGAGTTCTGTTTCTTTAATTTATGTAATCCTAATTTTTCCAGAATTACTCAAATACTGGTCCAAAACGACTCAGAAATCTGACTTGACTCAAATGTGTCCAAAATTACTCAAAATTTCAATAAAATGACTCAAAATGTGTTCAGATTGAATTGAGAACTCTAAAACGTTGAGATGCTGGCGTCTCCATGCACCGCCAGCATATGAGGAACATCTGGACACTTGGTGGTTTACTGCTGTTATTGTTGGTGATGTCCCCACAGCAGCAGGAGATCCTTGGTGCTAGCAGGTTGTGCAGCTAACGTGGCTAACGTTAGCGGTGATGTTCCGTCCACAGCTGATCCAAACACCAGTCCTCCTCCAACCGGGTTGGTTCTAACCGACTGTGTTCTTCTGCCTCCTCAGGCTCTGAACGGGTTCGTTCTGGTCATCACCGCCAGCGGAACCATCTTCTTCTCCTCCCACACCATCCAGGACTACCTGGGCTTCCATCAGGTAAGAGTCCACGCCTGTGGCCACCTCCACTAACCTCCATCCAGGAACAAGAAGAAGAAGAAGGAGCTTTATTGTCATCGTACAAGAAATCCAACGTTTGGCATCTTCTTTGCAGCAGCGAATGTGGTCAGAAGAACAAAAGTTCAAAGATGGTATAAATGATAAAATATTAAATAAATACTCGATTAAAAGTGCAAAAGAGCATTTGTTAGGAGCAGAGGAACCTCCTGAAGCTCTAAGTCCAGGGTGAGGTTTGGTCTCCTGATGTTCAAACTACCACCACAGTCAAGTAGGAGAAGAACCTCCAGGAAGGTGTTGGAGGTTCTTCTACTCCTTTGAGAAGAAAAACCACCAGGAGCCTCTCAGAGGTTCCTCTACTTCTTAAAAAACAAAACAAAGAGTGTGTTAGAAGTAGAGGAACCTCCTGAAGTTCTAAAGTGGTCAAGTCCAGGGTGAAGTTTGGTCTCCAGATTTCCACAGTCTGAGAAGTAGAAGAACCTCCAGGAACCTTGTAGGGTTCCTCACCGTTGCCACTGGGGAGGAACCGTTTCAGTTTAACATCAGCCAAGCCCTCAGGAAAGTCCTCCAGAGGTCGTTCTGGTTGTTTTTGGTCGTTTTCTGTCTGATCTCAGTCATTTTTTATCTCTTTGTCGTCATTTTGGTGATTTTTTTGTGCGTCTTTGTTGTTCCTGTACATCTCTGTGGGTGTTGCTGCTCCAGTGGGACTACTTCCTGTCTCATACTGCTGACTTTGAGTCGCTCTGTTGCTTCAGAAGGTTGATGTTTGCAGTTAATCCTGGAGTTATTTCACTCTCGACGCGTTTCATCTTGTTAAACGTGCAGAAGCTCATCATCTGCTGGTAGATGAAGGTGAGGAGGGTTTGCGTGTCACATCTGGCAGCAGCAGCTCGGGGGTCCTTCACCAGATCCACCTATTTATAACTTGGCCTTTAGTGGAAACCAGCAGAGTCCTGCAGGGAGCAGCAGGAACCTCCAGCAGGAACCTGAAGCTGCTTTTAAACACCACGCTGTGGAGAATCGAAAAACGTCAAACATCACTTTCACTTTGAGGCTGTTGTAAAATAAAGACAGGAACATGTTGACCTCTAGTCCTCCACAGCTAGTCAGCCTCCTGGATTTACAAGTCAGGAGGAATTTGACCCAGGTGTTACCTGACAGCTAGCTAACCAATAGGGGTTCAGCTTTGCATAGCTCCGCCCCCCCCACAGGTACCAGGTTTATTAATGAGACTGAACTCGTCAAAAATGAATCAAAGGTGGTCTAGAATGAATTGATGTGTTCACAGTGACTCAAACTGTTCAGAATCTGTCAGAAGTGACTTAAAGTCGACCTGAAACGGATCCAAACGTGTTCAGAACTTTTCAATCCGTCCAAAACTGTCTCAGATTTGTTCATTATTGCTCAAAATTTGTCAAAAACGACTCAAAACTCCTCCACAATCACCAAAACTTGGATCAATATGACTCCAAAATGACCCAACCAGTGGCGGTCCAGCTTTGTATAGCCCCGCCCCCCCACAGAGTCTATGGGAATTCCGTGTACTGGTTCTGTTGGACTCAGCCCTTTTTCGTTGTTGTCCCCCTCAGACTGATGTGATGCACCAGAGCGTCTACGAGCTGGTCCACACCGAGGACCAGCAGGAGCTCCGGAGGAACCTCCACTGGGCTCTGAACCCTCCTCCTCCTCCTGCGGCGGCGACGACGGCCATCAGCCAGGACTCGCCACCAGGTAGCGCTCCGTCCTCCTCAACATGGGCTTCTGAACGAGAAAATGTTCAGCTAGCAAACATCACAGGAATCCTTCATTTTGCCGTTTAGGCTCCAAAACTGTCCTTCAGGAACGTCAACCAAAATTGGTGTCCATTTTTCAAGATGGCCGCCATTTGCATATATTTAATTGTAACGCATTTGCTTGGTTTTGGTGGAAGGGTAACGTTGTGTGTCTGATGATCTGAGCCAAACCTGTGAAGCTGTTAGAATCAAAGGGTTTCTCTGATCATTTAACGCTCTGACGTTTGTTTTTCCGTCATGACTTTGAATTAACACGATTTTACTGGATTTAAAAGCTTCGTTCTGCTGCCAGAGTCTGAATATAAGGCGTCAATAATGTATGAAAATTTTGGAGTCATAACGTCAACAAATACGACCCCGACGGCCGCCATGTTGAGTTTTAGCGTCTCCAGCGTGTTTTGGTGCCACTGAGTCCCGTATTAGAAGAAGAATAGAAAAATACTTTATTTATCCCAGTCTGGGAAATTACTAAGAGTTTTATGAAAAAACTCCTCCTGTGTCCCATACACCCCACGACACCCCACGACCCCAGGAGACCTTTTGGGCTCCTTTTGGTCTCGTGGGGCTCCTGGGGGGGATTCCTGCCACAGTTGAAGCCGGTGCGTTTAAACCAACCAACGGGGCGTCAGCTCGTTGAGGCCTTAAGCCGTAGACCAGCATCAGGTCAGATCACATGACCTGTAATCTTCGCCGGGGCTTACGAGGTGAAGTGGTCCCAGATCTGTATTTGGGTTTTAAGATGCTTAAACGTTTGTGCTGGTTGCGTTTAAGACCGTGACGCAGCCGACCCACTCGGACAGGCCGCTGGCTGCGTGGCCTCCAAACCGTCACGTAGCGAAGAAGACGACACTAAAGGGCAAAAAAAACAAACCAGTTTACCGTCAGGAACAAACCAAACTGTGTTAAACTGTGAGAGCAGCGTTCAGGAGTTTGGTTTTAAATCAGAAAAGATGAATTTATACGTTTAAATGTCAATCATTCGTATGTTTTCACGACAAAATGTGGCAGCAAAAGGCAAAAAAAAAAGAATAAATAATACAACAATAAAAAATATATAAATATAAAAACAAATAACTTTAATTTTACAGTTGAGAGATTGAATTTCTATTTGTCAAATGCATTATTTATATTTTTGGCCTTTCTAAAAAAAAAAGTCAACATTTAAATTAAAACTTTTTTCTGTGGTTTTTACTTTCTGTCTGTAATTTAACTAAACGACAGAAATCTGAAAAATAACTGTAAAAAAAAACAAAGCTTCAATTCTTAATTCACATAATTTTCCAAAAACCTGAAAAATAATGATTTTTACCAGATTTAAATGAAGTAAAAATGTAATTTTTACAGATTACAAAAGAAAGAATTACTGTTTGTGAAAATACAGATTTTTTTAATGTTAAAATTATTAAATATTTTGGAATTTAAAAAAATATATATAAACAAATCATTTTTTTGTGATTTCACTCTTATGTGTAATTAAAAAGAAAAACTGTTGAAATGAACAAAATATCCATTAAAAAAATGTTAAATTCTGATTCTGTCATTTCTCAAATATCAGAAAATAATAATATTTTTAACTGATTTAAATCAAACTGGTGTCATTTTACAGCGAAACACTGAAAGAACACAAATAAAAACATTGAAAGAACAATAAAATACTGTAATGATGAAAAAAAATGTCCACAAAAAAATGTTTAAAAAAATCTCAAAACTCGTCATATTTTAAGCTGATTTTTCTGCAATTTTACTCTTTTTACCAAAACATAAATATTTAATCCTTAAAACACAAAATCTTTCATTGATATGACGACAAACGTCTTCAGAATCTGGATGTTTTTTTTTACAGTGGAGGAAAAGAAACGTTTAAAAGTCAAATGTTGTGAAAGATTAAATTCCTGTTTATAGAAATCCTGGTTTTCAACCTGGATGCTGTTTGTGGTTCTAAACTGATGCTTTGAACCAGTTTAATACTTTCATTCTTGTTCTCTGTGATTTTATTTGTTGTGTTTGTTAATTTAACAAAACAGTGAAAAAAATAAAATAAATCTGTAAAACACAAGTTTAGAAAAATATTCAAAAAGTTTGTTTTAAACATAAACTATGTGGAAAAATTATTTCTGCTGATTTAAATACAGTAAAAACTTTAATAGATAAACAACAATAAATGAGTCTAAATGTTCAACCTTTAATATTTTTTAGTTAAAGCTGTTAAAACTGTGTTATTTGATAAAAAACTTGAAAACTTTATATTTCAGACTAAATTTTGTTCTGCAGCCTCGAAAAATGACGTCTGGTTCTGAGTCAGAGGCGATCCGGTCTGAAGCCCGTCGAGGAGCTTCAGGATGTAAACGATCCAGTGTTTGTGTTTGTTGTTGTTTGTTGTTTGTTGTTGTTTGTTCCTGACGCCGTGTCTCCGTCCTCAGACGTGGAGCCCGACAGCAGCTCGTCTCTGGTCACCTACAAACCCGAGCAGCTGCCTCCAGAGAACTCGTCCTTCCTGGAGAGAAGCTTCGTCTGCCGGTTCCGCTGCCTGCTGGACAACTCCTCCGGCTTCCTGGTAGGTCACATGACCACACGGTCACATGACCACACGGTCACACTGACCTGCAGCGTCCAGGTGTTTCTGTGATTCTGTCTCTGGAGTCCTTCAGTGAGTTAAAATGAAAGTAAAGGACTCGATGTCTGGAAACATGAAGACGAGTTGTTCAGCTGATGACCAACAACAGGCCGATATTATGTTAATAAACATCAGAAATCTGTGTTTTTACAAAAACTGATGTTTGAGGATTTAAAAAATTCTGTTTACTGGATTTAAATCAGCAAAAACATCATTAATTCACAGATATTCGACGTTATTTCAGAAGAAAACTCTTTAAAACGCTGAATTATTCCAGTTTTTTTCTTTTTTTTTTCGATCTTGATCTTGAACTCTTTGCTTCCAGGCTCTGAACATCCAGGGCCGCCTCAAGTTTCTGCACGGCCAGAACCAGCGGCAGGAAAACGGAGGGAAGGCGCCGCCGCAGCTCGCCTTGTTCGCCATCGCCACGCCTCTGCAGCCGCCGTCCATCCTGGAGATCAGAACCAAGAACATGATCTTCAGAACCAAACACAAGCTGGACTTCACGCCGCTCGCCTGCGACGCAAAGTAACCGAGCTCTTGTCTCACTTGTCTCGTAGAAACAGTCGATTTAATGTCTTTCTAGATGAAAAATGAGCCACAAGCGGTAACTGCTGACTCTGGTGTTTCTGCTCAGGGGGAAGATCGTGTTGGGCTACACGGAGGCTGAGCTCCGGGTCCGAGGTTCTGGCTACCAGTTCATCCACGCGGCCGACATGTTGTACTGCGCAGAGAACCACGTCCGGAGTAAGTTCTGCGTCCCTGCTTCTGAGTCGACTCGCTCTCTGAGGAACCGCTGGAGCGACTCGCTGCAGTGAAGCTGCAGGACTGGAACCTTCTAGAGACGCCGGCAGCTCGACCGTCCATCAGAACGTCAACGAGAAAAACGACTTTTAATTCACGGCACATTTAACCAGAGCTGCAGCTGCGTGTCCGCTGTCTGTACTCTGCTTTCAATTAGTCATGAAGTCTGAAAAGTTCACATAAAACTGTTTAAAACCACTAAAACATGTCCAAAATGACTCAAAAAGTCAAAAACTGGTCCTAAATAAGTTAAAACCTTCATCAAAACCTGTCCAAGAGGAGTCAGAAACAAAAGCCCAAACTGGTCAGACATGACGGAAAAAATGTTAAAAATGACAACGACTTGTCCAAAATTACCTAAAACATTTTCAAATCCTGTCCAAAATTATTAAAAAGTCTCCAAAATGACAAAAACTGGTCCCAATTAAGCAAAAATCTTAATCAGAAACTGTTTTAAGATGAATCAAAATGACAGAAATCTGTCGTAAATACTTTGAAATTAGTCCAAAACTACAAAAGAATTTTCCCAAATCACAGAAGCCGAACCCTAACCTGTCAAACATGACTCCAAACTTGGCCAAAAGTAGCTAAAACATTTTCAAAATTTGTCCAAAAAGACAAAATCCTGTTCAAAATGACTGAAAAAGTCTCCAAAATGACAAAACTGGTCCCAAATAAGCTTAAAATCATAATCAAAACTGTTCAAGATGAGTCAAAATGACAGAAATCTGTCGTAAATACTTTGAAATTTGTCCAAAATGATGAAAAAAGTTTTAAAAATCACAAAAGCCCAACCCTGACCTGTCAAACACGACTGAAAAACTGTCCAAAATACAAAATCCTTCCAAAGTTACTCAAAAAGTCTCCAAAATGGACAGAAGTTGGTCCTAAATAACCCGAAACCGACTCAAGAACTGGTGGAGATGAGTCAGAATGTTTCATATTTATTATAAATATGTGCAGTTCAATGTTCACGTCACACCACAAGATTAAAATACGTCCACATGCTAACATGCTAACATGCTAGCTGCTGTAGGACAACATGCCAGAACCGATTCTTCTCTGAAGTCTCCAGACGAGGCTGCAGGCTGAATGTTTGCAGCGTTTGCTGCAGATCTCCTGGAGTCCGTTCATCTGCCAGATTACCAACATCAACATGCTGCTATTTCAGTCGCGGTCTGTCAGAAAAAGTTGGGGCGGTCTGGACCAACCTGGTCACAGAGTTCAGACAGCTTTCCCAAGTAATCCCGCTGGATTAGGGAGCAGATTGAGCAAAGCTGCAGAGCTGCCAGAGCAGAGGATTCACAAATCCATGCAGGAGCAGAGCTCGGCCGATGATCCATAAACACCGCCGAGGTCAGAGATGAGGCCGGCCGCTGCAGGTCGGCCTGGTTTATAACGGACAGAAGAAGAAAACGACCTGAAGCAGCTCCACTGACCTGGAAGGTCCATTTAATAACCATCAGCAAAACGAACCGGAGACTGGAGACGTTTAAAAAGGTCCAAAATGACAGAAAACACATCCAACATGTGTCTGACATGACAAAAACCTGTTCAGAATTCCTCTAAAAGGGTCCAAAATGACTTCAGACGTCTTCAAAGGGAGTCACAGTTTGTCCGAAATGACAAAAGCCTGTTTAAAATGTCAAAAAGATCTCCTAAATATCCCAAAAACTGCACTTTCAACTCTTCAAAGTGCATCAGAATGTGTCAAACGGACAAAAGCCTGTTCAGAATTTGTCAAATAAATCTCCAAAACAGTCAAAAACAGGTCCTAAATAACCCAAAACCAAACTCTAAACCTGTCTGAAATGACAAAAACCTGTTCAGAATTCCTCTAAAAGGGTCCAAAATGACTTCAGACGTCTTCAAAGGGAGTCACAGTTTGTCTAAAATGTCAAACTCTGCTCCACATGAACCTAAAAGTCTCCAAAATGACAGAAACCTGATTTAAAGACTTTAGAACGAGTCAAAATGTGTCAAAACTGAAAAACTAAAACCCACTGAAGAGCCTCCAGTGTGTAGACCTGCAAAGTCCAGCGTAGTTCTGGTCCGACTGTTGACTTAAAGGCTTTAATGAGGTTTAAATGAGTTTTTAATTTGAGTTTAACTGTTTCTGTGGATTTCTGCAGTGATGAAGACCGGAGAAAGTGGTCTGACGGTGTTCCGGCTCCTCACCAAGGAGAACCGGTGGAAGTGGGTCCAGGCCAACGCCCGGCTGGTCTACAAGAACGGGAAAGCGGACTACATCATCGCCACCCAGAGACCTCTGCTGTACGTCCTCGCTGCATGTGTTGTGTTTCAGACCACAGATGAACCAGAGAGGCTCGTTATCATTTAGACACAATCAGAATGACGTAAAGTCTCCTGAACAACCAAACCTGGTCTCAGTAAACGAGGCCACATGTAGAGTTTTCATTCATGACATTTATGAATTTAACCACATGTGAAACCCTTAATCCTGGAAGGGGGGTAAGAACCAGACCTAAACCTTTGATCGACTGTAAGCGTCTACGGTGGGTCTCCAGATCCTCATCATACTTTGTGTTCCTGCAGGGATGAAGAAGGAGGCGAACACCTGCGTAAGCGCTCCATGCACCTTCCCTTCACCTACGCCACCGGCGAGGCGCTGCTCTACCAGTCCAACCATCCCATCGCCGTCTTCAGAGACGGAGGCCTGGAGAAGAACGGCAGCAAGTCGAAGAAGAGCCGGACCGACCGCCTGGTGAGGGACGGCGTGGACCCCGGCTCCCTGCTGGGGGCGCTCATGAGCCAGGACGAGTCGGTGTACGTCTGCCAGCCGGCCCTGGAGCCCAAGATGTCGTTCCACAGCAGCTTCTTCGGGGAGCAGATGGGCTTCTCTGACCCGGAGCCCTCCGGCCTGAGGAGGAGCTGGGGCGAGCCGGCTAACGGCGGGGTGGCTCCGGCCGTCACAGAGCCCGGTACCAGCTTCGACCCGCTGCTGGCCACCCTGGACTCCCTATCTTTGGAAGGTCAGGGGGTTGTGGACGCAGACGAGGGCGGCTGTTCGAACGGCGAGCTGTTCGGGGCTCTGGAGGGTCTCGGGCTTAGCGCCGAGGACCTGGAGCTGCTGCTGCTCGATGAGCGGATGATCCGAGTCGAGATGGACCCAGAACGAGTGCCGACGTTGGACGACCTGCTGACGAATGACGAGATCCTCTCGTATATCTACGACTCCATTGAGGGAAAAACCGACTCGGCGGATCACGGAGCTCAGGCGCCTCCCAGTACCTCCTCGGTCAGCTCCACGACGGTGTCGCTGCCTGGAAGCAACCATCCGACTGACGCTACCGTGCAGATGCAGTTTCCTCACTGTAAGCCTCCTCCGATGGGGCAGGCTCCCATCGTGCAGCTGTCGCAGCAGATGCAGCAGCACCTCAGCATGCGAACTGGTAAAGGGTCGCACGACTGGAACCAGCAGAGCGACCGCCTGACCAACACCTTAGTTAACGGAGATCTTCTGGGACAGAACCAGTCGATCCCCAACGGACAATGGACAGCGCAGGACATCCTGGCCACGGCAGGGATTCAAATGGAACACTTTCACGCACCGCAGACTGTTTTCAGTGACAAGGCCTCGGACCTGGACCTCCATCAGCAGCACCAACACTACCAACCCAGGACACAGAACCAGCTCTCCCAGCAGTGCCACGCCAAACAGAAGGCAGCCAACCTCAACGGACTGAGCGGCATCTCCAGCAGGGAGCATCCGGCAGGAAAGTCCCAGTGGCAGGACTTTGGGTTCAGCGAGAGTCTGGGCAGCAGCTCCTGCCTCGACAACAGCCAAAAACCTCTCACCAACACCTCACTAGAGTCGTGCATGGATTATAGCATGCCCGACATGGACAATGCGGATTACACTCTCAGTGGAAGCAGTTTGTTTGGGAGGCAGCAGCAGGCGGCCGAGTCCACGGTTCCGTCCTTCCAGGGGATGAACCACAAACGGCAGCCGGAGCAGATCCCGGTACCGCTGGCCCAGGTCCTGTCCAGCCTGTCGCAGTGTCCGCCGCCCAACGCCTCCCTGGAGCAGATCCTCGGGGTGGGGAAGCCCTGCCGGCAGCTGGACCACTACGGCATGGTGACCTCCGAGATCCAGCACGAGCCCGGTCACAGTAAGGTGAGGCGGCTGTGATCAGGACCAGCTTTAGCTTCAGTGTGTGAAACAAAGGCGTTCATAATTACTCACATTTTAGGAGCTTTCAGCTGAATCTCATGTTCTCTTAGAAGTAGAAGAGCCTCAAGGAGCTTTTTAGGGTTCTTCACCGTTCCATCTTTGGAAGAACTTTCCCAGCTCAAAATGGTTCCCTCAGGAATCAATTTATAACTCTTAATTATTGTTATTAATGTGGTTATAAATCGTTAGCTAGCAGTACCAAATAGTTAGCTCACAGTACCAAATAGTTAGCTAACAGTACCAAATAGCTAGCTCACAGTACCAAATAGTTAGCTCACAGTACCAAATAGCTAGCTAACAGTACCAAATAGTTAGCTAACAGTACCAAATAGTTAGCTACGAGTAACGCTTGAATGATCAGGAAACCAAATAAATAGTGAGCTACAGGAAATGAATTAGATGATTAGATGAAACTACTAAATAAAGAATAACATTAAATTAACTATTTAGTAGGTTAGTATAGAGATAAATATAATCAGATAAATGATTAGCTAAAAATGAATACTTAGCTAACTATTTATTACTTTTAGGTAAATGTTTAACACTTCTAGTAACTATTTATTACATTGAGCAAACTACTTATGTTTAGCTAACTTTGTTTTACATTAAGCCAATCATTTGTTTTTGGCTCACTATTTCTTACATTTAGCTAACCGTTTGTTACTTTTAGCTAACTATATGTTACTTTTAACCAACTGTTTGTCATGTTTAGCTAACTATGACCTACTTCTAGCTAGCCATTTGTTATGTTTAACTATTTTTTACATTTAGGTAACTGTTGTCAGGTTTAGCTAACTGTAGCCTACTTTTAGCTAACTATTATTTTTAGCTTAGTATTTTCTATGTTTTCACTAACTAGTTGTTACTTTTAACTGTTTCTTCCATTTAGCTAACTTGTTAGTTTTCATTGACTATTTGTTAGGTTTAGCTAAGCGCTAGCCGATTGTTTGTTGCATTTAGCGAAGTATGTATTACTTTTAGCTCACTGTTTTCTATGTTTAGCTAACTAGTTGTTAGTTTTAGCTAACTGTTGTTGTGTTTTTGGTTTGGTGGCAGCTAACGGCATAAAATTAGAGCTACAACTGATGATTCATTTCATTATTGATGAATCATTTGGTCGATGAGACGTCAGAAAACAGTGAAAAATGTCCAATCCAAAGCATCTGGCATCTTAAAACATGTTGATCTGTCAGACCGACCCTCCAGAACCCAGAATGTTCAGTGTGTTCTGATGGACGGAACCAGGAAATGCTGCAGATTAGCTGATTTTAAAACCATTGCTTGGACGTCAGAGGGTTAAACGGTGGCTAACCTCTTGCCTCTCCGTGCAGATGGAGAACGGCTGCATCCTGAACACCTCCTACCCGGCCGGCTGCTCGCTGCCCAACGGGACCGGACCGGCGCCGCCTGCCGTCCAGCTGCCCGAGACGCTACCGAGCCTCCCCGACCCGCCGGCCACCGGCTTCTACCTCTGACCTCCACCCGACACTGTGATCGGCCAGAGACGCACTCCATGACTGCAGCAGCCTTATATGACCCGACAACACCGCGGCCCGGCAGACGTGCTGGTTCCTTTGGTTCTGAATCCGTCGGGGGGATGTTAGAGGATCATCGTCGAATTATCATATGAGTTCTTTGTTTACAATAATGCAGTGAAGAGTTCTCAGTTTAATTTAACAGAAATACGAGTTATTTTATGAATCTGTGCTCAGATACATCGCAAAGCTCGAGTCCCGTGAACCCAGCGTGTGATTCAGGATTCGATTATATTTAATGCAGCATAAAGACGACGTCCTGAAAGTTTTGGGTCAGCATCAGCCAGAGAAGATCACTTACCTGAACCATCCTCCTCCGCTGCTCGTCTTCTGTGATCCGAGGGTTTCCAACGTGTTGGATGACCAGACGAGCAGCAGATCGATGGATGTTCAGCGACGTGCTCAGACAGTTTCCACCTGATGAATGTACAGAGAGCAGGAGGAGCTGCTGGAGGCTGACAGACTGGACTTCTGAAGGTCCAACGTGACTCCAGACTGGTTCAAGATGATTCAGCGTTCGTCCAAAATGACCTGAAGTCACATCAAAATGGATCAAAATGTGTCCTAAACGACTCAAAAGTAGTGCAAAATGAATGAAATTTGTCCAAAATTATTCTAAATGTATCTGGAATGACTCAGAAATTATGAAAAAATATGTAGAAATTTGTCTAAATAGCTCAGAATTTGTACAGAATTAATCGAATTTGGTCCAAAATGATTAAAAATTTGTCCAAAATTCCTGAAAATTTGGTTGAAAGTAAATCAAAGCTTATCTGTTACAAGACTGTTCAAAATTACTCAAACTTTGGTCCAAAATAATTCAAGATTTGTCCAAAATTGATTGAAATATGTCCAAAATTATTCATAAATTGTCAAACGCAAATCCAAATTTGTCCAAATGACTCAGAATTTGTACAGAATTAATCAAATCTGGTCCAAAATTACCAAAACATTTTGCTGAAAGTAAATCAAAATATGTGTCTGACAAATATTTGTCCAAAATTAATGACAGTTTGGTCCAAAATGATTGAAGGTTTGTCTAGAATTATTCTAAATATGTCTAGAATCACTCAGAAATTGTCAAAAATAAATCTGAATTTGTCCAAATGACTCAAAATTTGCACAGAATTGATCAAATCTGGTCGAAAATGACTAAAAATCTGTTCAAAATAATCAGAATTTGTCCAAAATTCCTGAAGATTTGGTCAAAAGTAAATTGAAATTTGATGTGACAAGACTGTGTTCAAAATTAACCAAACTTTGGTCCAAAATAATTCAAAATTTGTCCAAAATTATTCAGAAATTGTCAAAAAGTAAATCCAGATTTGTCTAAACGACTCAGAATTTGTGCAGAATTAATCAAATCTGGTCCAAAATTTGTACAAAAATAATAAAAATTTGTACAAACTAGACAAAAACAGATTCTCCAGACGTCCTCCAGATGTGCTCCAACATGACTGGACGTCCTCCATCATCTGGATCAGGTGGAGGATGAGAGACGGCAGCGTTTCCTCCTGATGAATTGATGAATGAGCAGAGAACCGGAGCTTCCTCCTCCTGATCGCCGCTTTGCTTTGTATCTGAACCGCTCCGGCTCCGGCTCGGCTGCTTCACAGGGTTCTGGTTCCGTCGTCTCCAAGAATGTAAACCTTCAGCGGTTTCTGTTGGAGCCGCTTCACTCTGAGATTAAACCCTGAACGTCTGGACTCAGAAATCCTCCTGCACTTTATCTCAGCGGCGCCCAGACGCCTCTAAGCGGTTTGTTTTTCCTCCACTTGAATTGTTCTTTTCTTTTTTTCCTCCTTTTCGTTGGCGGATCAGAACCGTCACCTGATTCTAATTATTTATTCCTGCAGCGCGTTTCCTGATCGTTCAGACGTGTGAGACTGAAGTGAAGCTTAATTATGTGTTAATTGAATCCACTGATGGGCAGAGAAGCTGCACACAAACCAGACCATCAGCTGGACTTCCTCCTCCTCTGAAGGAGGTTCTGGTTCTGTTCCTGTGACTTTAAGCTCATTTTGACTCTTTAGATGAAAAAAAAAATCCCTTCACAGAAAACCTGATGTGTTGTTTTCAGTCCGACTGACAGGAAACAGAATTTATCCTCAAACAGACGTTTATTTAAACTGCGTCAAAGATCTGCATCCAGGAAGCGTTCTGTCTGATCGGGTCGATGAATGGAACCACCGCTGGGTGTTTGGGTCACTACAGGACCAGAGGTACCCAAAGCATGTCCAACATTAATCAGTCTTGTCCAAAAAATGACATAAATGAGTCTTAAATGATTAAAATTCATCAGATTTCAAAATGTTTGTAAAATGTTAAATAAAAAAGAATAAAACTAAAAACTGGTCGGTGGTAAAAAATGTAAAAAGAATAAAATAAAAGACTCAAAAAGGAAATTTGTTCACCAATTATTATTTAAATTGTTCAGAAATTGCTAAGAATTAATTAAAAATGGCTAAAAAATAAAACAAAAAAAACCAAAACAAAATTAAATCTGAATTTTCCCAAAATGACGAAACGTTTGTTTGGTTGAAGGAAGAAAAAAAAAATGTGCAAAATAATTTAAGATGTGTTCAAAGTGACAAAAAAAATGAGTCAGAAATGATTTTTAATTTAATTTAAAAATGATCAAAAAATCAAAATGTGTCCAAAAAATAAAAAAATAAAAACTTTATCCAAAATTACTAAAAATTTGTCAGTAAAAAAAAAAAGAACAAATTTAAAACGATTCAAAAAGGAAACGCGTCTAAAAAAATCTTTCAGGTCAGAAACTGATCAAAGTTTGTCCAGATTTACTAAAAACAAACAAAAAGCTAAAAAAAAAAAATCCCAGAATTTTCCCAAAATGACGAAACATCTGAAAAAAATTAGCAAAATTACTGAGAACATGTTCAACATGATGAAAAATGAGTCCGAAGTGATTTTTTTTTTTTTTTTTAAAAAACAAAAAAAAAAATACAGTCAGTTTAAAAGTCGTTCAAATTTGTCCAAAGTGACAAAAAAAAAAAGTCAGAAACATTTTCCAAAATTCTCCCAAAATGAACATTTGGTTCAAAATTTGATTGGAAAAAAAAAAATCCTCATTTAAAATAAATCGATGTTTATTTTTTCCAAAACTTCTCCAAAATGACTAAAACTGAGAAAATCCAGAATTAATGACGATCACAGAACCAGGTTTAAACGAGTGACGCATGATATCAGAAGTTCTGGCCGATAACCGGTGTTACGATGTCAGTCTGGAAGCTGTTCAGACGACGCCCAGATTAGACCTCGTATCGTCTTTATTACAAAAGTCAAACATAGTTAAACATATGTAACGTTAAAGGAGCATTTAAGTAAAAACATCTGTGTAATAGCAGTGATACCAAATGTAGAGACGAAGGCGCCGATATCAGACAATCATCGGATCTGTTCATCGGACCGACACCGAAATATCGGACAAAACCCTGATATCAGCCGATAGCGACGTGTCGCTGATACATCGTTCATCCTGAGTTTAAACGACTAAAACGTTGTGATCAGAACGACTCAGAACGACTCAAAATGACTTAAAATGACTTAAAATGTCACAAAGGACTCAAACTTTGGTCCAGAATGATTCAGTATTTCTACAAAAGGACAGAAATCTTTATAAAATATATTTAAATTGTCCTGAAGTTACTTTAAACTCGTTCAAAACAACATTTTTAATGTTTTTTTAAAAAAAAATAAAATCGGAGCATTTTGGATAAATGTTCAACTTTAACTTCACTGTTTGCTCATAAACAGTGACATTAAAGGTCATTAAAAGTCATTAAAGCTCATTAAAGCTCATTAAAGCTCATTAAAAGTCATTAAAGCTCGTTGCTACCTTTTGTCTGATTGTTTGGTTTCAGAGGGAACCTGAACCGGGTCAGACAAGTTCTGGATGTAGATGTTTGACTGAGTCGGACTGAGAACAGCAGACGGTTCCTGTAGAACCGTGTTTCTCTGAAGAGTTCTTCTGACTTGTGGAGACGGGTTCAGGTGGAACTCTGCAGGTTCTGAAGCAGCAGAACGGTCCTTTAATCAGAACCACAAACCAAACGAGTGGATCGGACCTCTGGACACAGTTCTGAATGTTTCCTGTAAATAGTGGAAAACAAACAAACGAGTCTTTGACGGAGTGACAAGATGCTGAAAAGAGATTCTGTCCACTGTTCGTGTCCCACACGGGTCTGGTTCTGTTCTGGTTCTGTTCTGGACGTTCGGACCTTTTTCTTTTTTCTACGGCAGACGTGTTTGATATATTTAATATGGTTGGTGTGAAGACGTGTACATAGGAGCCGGTCCGAGTCCGGCCGTGTACAGAGCTTATCGTCCTTTCCGGCACCGGTTCTGAAACACCTCCTCGGTCGATTCTTTTGGGTTTTGTCTTTTTTTTGTTGCTTGTAAATAGTCGCTGTGGTCACGACACACTGGACTGAATCGGTGCCATAAAGCTGAGACTGAACCACAGTTTGATTTGTTTGTTGTTTGTTTGTTTATTTTGCGTAGCCACGGTAACCTGCCGACAGGTTTCCTCCTTCACCTGCTTCAGTTTCTCCTTTTTGTTTTGTTCTGAGACGTTGAAGGATTCACGACGACGACGACACTCTGGTTTTTTAATCACTCGGACAGAAAACTCCCGACCGACCGACCGACCGACCGACCGACGCTCTGATAATAAACCTTTACCACATGAACTCGGACTCGTCTGACTCGTCACTGTCAAAATAAAAGACCCGGAAGTTTCTGGGTTTGAAACACATGCAGAAAAAAAATAATGAAATTAAATGTTAATGTGCATCAAACAGGAAAAACAGTTTTTATTTTTATAGAAAATATTAAAAACAAAAATAACTTCATATAGACAACAAACAATTTCACACATTTTTTAAAAATTGTAAACAAGTTAAATACTGAAATTTCAA